AGGTGAAATTTGTCTGTTGAATGGGTAACACAGTGTCTTCAACCACAGTTTTAAAGAAAGAATAATCATTTTGGACCTTATAAACAACCATAAATATAGTGAAGTTTGGCAATTAATTATAATGTGTTGAAGGCCTTCTGTTGTTGTAGCTGTTAATATAGGCCAGGTGTAAATGCTTCCTGGGTCCTTGCTTCTCACAGAATAGAACCGAGGCAGCTAATGTCATCTTCAGACCACCTTTGTCAAATCTGAGCTTTTTCAGTGGTGCCTGGTAGGAACTGGAAAGCAGTTTGTCAGTTTTAATAGAAGTGGAAGTATAGAATTTTATGGCCATTGGTGAGAGAATAAAGTCGGTATTTCTTAGTCACATGTAAACTCTTTCTTAGCATACAACAGAATCTCCTTTGTAAGCTGTTTTGTAGTTGGAGTTTTCAGACTTTTTTTTTTTTTTTTTTTTTAGTTTCAGAGATAGTGGAGTCCCAACTGATTTAAGTTATGAATGAAGTCAAAGCAGAGAAAATATTATACTTCTCAAGTTTGCTTTGTAGGCAATAGAAGCAAAGATTTAATGTCAAGCTTCTGTAAGTTGCTGGAGTGAAATGGGCATTTTATGAGTGAATAAATTGAATTTTTATTGTTGTATTGATCTTCATGTGTAAGGAGGAATACTGAGTAAATACACTGATTCATTTAAAGTAGCTCTTCTTGAGTTCTTTGTTATAGATGCATTATAATCCTTTGAAATAAAATTTATAATAGTTTTTCCTTTTGCCTGACAGTAATGTAACTTTAACCTGAAGAAATTATTCATATCTGCTTATTATTTTCTACTCTATCAAAATAGGAAGTGTCTGTTTTCGAGGCTCTTATTGGAGGCTAGGCAGCCTCACAGCAGAAGAGAATAAGACCTGAGCCAGGCCTTTTGCTCACTTGGCACCTGAGCAAGTTATTGAAGTTTCCCCTGACTCCATTGTCTCCCTGTAAATGGCAGTACCACCCACCTCACAGGACTGCTGTCCAGATGGAGGGTAAAACATGGATATGCCGGTATTCTGTTGTCATGATGGCGTGTAAAGTGTGGAACGCAGCAGCCGTTCTGTGTTCCCAGCCCCAGGCACTTGGTGTCAGGACTTCTCAGAGAATTCAGAGGCAGCCTTGAATCTTGGGAATGTTTTCATTGAATACATATTGCTGTTTGACATCAGAAGTGCAGACTGACAACATTTTACCAGCCAAGTTCAAAAAAGCAGATTTTCCCCAAAGCTTTGTATAAGCTAGGTCTCTCTGTAATAAATACCTTTTGCAGTTGAGCTCTCTCTGACGTTTTAACAACCCACATTGTGGGGCACAGCTACAGTGTTTGGACAGGTTCAAGCCTTGGACTGAGGAGAGGGCACAGTCCTCTTGTGGCCACATGCAAGCTCCAGCCAGAGGGCAGAGCCCTCCCCGCACAATGATAGCCAACAGCTGTAGTTGTGAGCTTGAACCTGTGGTCTGAACATGTGACCCCATGTGCCCAAGTGATATAAGCTGCAAGTAAACAAAGCTTGATCAGGTGCATGTATTTGAGTGGGATTGAAACTCAGGAGAATGTTGTAAGCATCTTGACCACGCCCTTACTTTGCCTCGTGGCAAAGTAAAATACACGACTTGTGGGCACTGGCTCTGTCTCTCAGGGAAGCAGTGTCCTACCGAGACCCAGCTTTCATCCTCTTGTCTGTCTTTTCTAAGCTTTTCAGCCGCCCTCACTCAGGGTCACCCTAGCAAACATACTAATTTCAAGAAAGCCTGTGGAGGACATTCGATTCTTTTTTCCAGGAATCCTGTCTGGGCTCTTCTCCTGTAGACTTCTGGCATTTTGTGACCCGAAATATCTCATCTTAGGCTCGCAAAATTCCACCTGGGGCCCTTGATGTGCAAGTTCTCAGTTGAACAATTTACATCTATGTGTGTCCTTTGCCTTAACCCTAAATTGCATAATCCCGAGCAGACAGGAAAGGAGGCCCTGGTTTCCACACGCCAGGCACCAGGTCACAAAGAAGTGAATGCCTCACGGCTGCCTTGGAGGTAGCAAAGAAGTGAGTGTAGAGTAGAGCATATTACCCACAATAATTACCTTGACCATGAAGACAAAGGAGCAGGAGTCGTGTGGGGAAGAAGTCATGGCTGGGCATGTTTTTCTGTTTTCAGCCAGGACAACTCCCCTTTGCTCTGTTTTAATTTCCTTTTACTTTGACCCTCTGTCTCTCTTGTGAAGAAGTCAGTCATCTTCCTTACTCCAAGTGTCCATGGTTGTCCATGAAATATTAAATATTAGTTAAATCTGGTATGGGAAATGAACCACCTTCATGTCTCTGAAAGAGATGGAGCAGATGCGACTCTTGGGAGGCATGGTGCCTTTGAGTACACCTTTCAAAGATTCCCTAAGATCACTCTGACACGGGAAAGAAATTATTTTTCCTTTGCGCCTCTGAGTTCTGAGCTGAGGCACCTGTAATAAGAGACAGATAAACAAGAGAAAAATAGTTTATTAACATGTATTCCTCGTGTACACATGGGAAGTATCCAGGAACTAAATGGGTAACTCAAAAAATAGATTTAGAATTTAGGCTTAAATTACATCTTAGTAGGAAAAAGAGAAGGGCAGAATAAATAATTTTTAGGAAACATGGGGATCAGTGGGAGGCAGTTTGTGAGGAAGTTTGGGTGGGTGTGGTGTGTGGACTCCTAGTCTCTCCTTATGATGAGCAGTCCTCTCTGGATGAAGAAATGCCGGACGCGGGGCCAGGACAATTGAGTTCTTTGCGGAGCACCAGTCTCTTGGCAGGTGAGGGGAGTTCAGAGAAAGCCTGCGCCTGCATTTACTGTTTTTCAGGCGCCTTTGGCTTAAAATGACCAGTACACCAAGTGGGGTGGCATGTTCTGCTGCCCTGTGCACTAAGTAGTCCAACATTCAAAATTGGCACATATAAAGGTCCTCTTGAAATGAAGCACTTCTAATTTCAGCTCAGTTCCTTAAGTATACATAGAAAAAGCATAAGATCTGGAAATTTTATAATAAATATATTCTACTTCTCCTTCCCCTAAACAAAACAGATCTCTGCAGTCACAGGCAGTCCCTAGTTGCAGGTTTTCCCACAGGGGCAGCACTGATAGAAACCAGAGACTCCTGCTTTTTCCTGTCTAGTGAAATTTATAGGATGGCTTTCCTTTAGGCCTTTGCGTAAATTCGAACTATTTATATGCTCTTGGTTGAAAATAAGATCCCCATTGTCTAAATTATGTCAGGGTAGCTCTTAGCTAACATAAGAATCTATTATATGCTTTAACATGATATCCAAATGAGTAAGTCAGTGATAAGAACTTTCCTGTAAGGCTTTTTAAAATGTCATTATCCATTTCCATGTCACATGACGTTCCAGCTAGTTGCACAGTATTTTAAATCATAGTTCACTTTGGTACATTTTGGGGGGATGGCTCCCTAACACCTCACCCACCCTAGTTTGTTTTCTATTCCAACCTGGCTTCACCTCTTTGATAACTTTCGGCTCAGGCTGTGATTTCTGAGGGGAAGGGAGGGCAGTAAAACAACTTAGGTCCTCCCTCTCCCCTTCCTCTGCAGCTCTGTGGACAAAGGCAGATCACATTTACTAGGAGATGCCGGTGGCACCCAAAGGTTGTTTTCTGGAGGTCCTCGGACCAAGAGAGGTGGAAAGACCAGTTGAGGAGAGGAGGGGGTGACATGGGCCCCGGGTGCCCACCGCTCGTCCCTGGGCCAGCTCAGTGCCTCCATTAGCCTTCATGTTAAAATGAAGAGTCTTCATCCCACAACTGCTGCAGTCAATGAAGTGGTGGCGCTGGAATGCAAAACCCCTACTTCTGTTCTTATTGGAGGGGAAATATGTCAATAATCTCATCCTTATCAGGTAGTTAAAAAACCAGAGTTTGGGCAAGTCACTCGCAGACAACAGGGTACAGATTGTTTTCTGTCCTGGAGTTAACTGATATCTGTATGTAATGGAGAGCGAACTCGAGTAAACAAACGACCACTGGAGTCCAGACCAAATGAAAATTTAAGGAGCCTTTTCAATAACCGGCTGGCTGACTGCTCTCTCTACGCAGCCCAGAGAGCACCCCGACCCTTTGTGTCGGACCGTATTTATACCCATTCGCTACCTCCTGTTTTAGCAGAGCAAACAATTTTAAAACAATTTAAGCAAAGGAGTTTTTCTTAGGGAAAGTCAACATGTCACTTATATGGGGTCCTGGCACCTGGTGGAGTAAGCAACTGCATCCTGTTATCAGGAAAGTGGACAGTGATCTATCCTGGAAGGCTATTTTGTTAGTTGTAGCTGGGATTTATGGTCACATCGACTAGGAGAAAGCATGCTTAAAAATCTCCACTCTCTAACGCTGTCTGTGCAATGAGAATAGCATGTCTCTGCCCTGTGATTGTTCCATGGTTTCCGTGCAGCCATCTCGGCAGGTTTGCAGCTGTGCCGGGCCAGAGCGCGTGCTCCATAACAAGCAGCTCCACCAGGTGTGGGGATGCTTGTTATTTTCGGGGGGTTGTTTTCATCTATATCTATCAATATTGATACCTGTATTCTCCGACATCAGGGAGTGTGTTTTCATGTATCAGTCCACGGGCACGGAATTATACATTGATGTTTCAACTTAGATTGCAGAAAAGGCAGCACCAGTAATCAAGGCTTTCCCCAAACAGTAAAGCAGACGTCTCCCAGTAACTAACTACATGGCTTTGTAATTGAATGCAGGATTGCTTGTTCGTGGGTGTGATGACCTGCTTGTGTATTTTAAATAGAGCGTTGGAAATGCATACAGTATAGGCACTTTTGAAATTGGGAAAAGTTTTGTTTTCTGGGACTAGTTGATTAATGTTTAGATATTAAAGCATATGACAGTATATATTTTGCTTCGATTTTGAAAGAGATTCTTTGTTACTTAAATGCTAATTGACCTTGCTATTTTATTTTTAGGGAGTATCTTGGCAAACAGCTCCAATCTGAGCAACCTCAGACCGCTGCTGCCCGAAGCTGAACCAACCCCCCACATCACGTATGAAGGCAGCACACCTGGAGTGTGAATTTCAGTAGTGAAATAATTTTTCATTTTATGTGTAAATTTCTTCTGTTGTGTGGCTGTTTCCGCTGCTGATTTTTAGCAAAAGTGTTCGCCTGTCAATCTGTATAAAAGTAAATGCTTTCTGTATCTAAGGAAAAGATTACTGTTACATATATTGCTTGTATTTCTATATTTATTATTCGCTGGAAATGAATATGGTTATTAAAGGATTCTCACTCCAAATAGGTTTTCTCTTTACTCTTTCTTACTGGGACTTGAATAAGCTGTGGATCACTGATAGCTCCAAATAGGTTGCCCAGAGCCAGTCACAGACAGCATTTAACATTGGCCCCCACCATACTCCTTGTGAAGAGCCCAGAACCAATAGCCAGTTCCAGACAGAAAGGAGCAGGATTCAGTAAGCTTCTCAAACAGCTTATCCACAGGGATATGTTAGCAGGTACCAAAACCTGCTGAGGCAAATTCAGCTTTCTGTGATCAGCACTGTCATAACAGCTTGCATGCCTGTTGGGCATTGAGTCTCACTGGCAGCCAGCCTGAAGGTTGATCCCATGCACAAAAGGGCCAATAGCAATCAAAATTTAATTACAACAGGAGGGGCCCACAAAACATGCACAAGGGGCAATATTAGAGCACCCAGCTCAGTGATCAGGGAGACCACCACGGTCCCACGGGTCACCTACTACATAGAAACAAACACAAAGAGGCAACCAGAATGGGGAGACAAATAAAAGCCCTGGAATGGATGACTTTACAGGTGAATTTTTATCAAACATGCAAAAAAGAACTAATACCTGTCCTTGAACTATTCCCAAAAATTCAAGAGGAGGAAAGACTTCTAAGATCATTTTCTAGGCCAGCATTATCCTAATTCTAAAACCAGATAATGAGAAAATTATAGGCCAAGATCTATGTTGAACATAGATGCAAATCCTCAACAAAATATTAGCAAACTGAATCCAGCTATACATTAAAAAGATGATACACCATCATCAAGTGGGATTTTTTTCTGGGGATACAAGCTTATTAAAATACCTGCAGTTCAATAAATGTGACACACCATATAAACAAAATGAAAGATAAAAAATAACATGATTATATCAATAGATGTAGAAAAAGCATTTGATAAAATCCAGTGCTTATTTATGATAACTCTTAGCAAAGTGGGAATAGAGAGAATGTACTTCCCATAATAAAGGTCATATATGATAAATCCACAGCCAACATTTTCCTCATTGGGCAAAAACTGTAAGTGTTCCTCTTAAGATCAGGAACAAATTAAGCATGTCTGCTTTCACCACTCTTATTCAACATAGTACTGGAAGTCTAGTCACAACAATCAGATAAGAAGGAAAAATAAAAGGCATCTAAATTGGAAAGGAAGAAGTAAAACTATCATCATTTGCAGATATGATACTGTATATAGAAAACTCCATAAAAATGATTCCATAAAAAATTACTAGAATTGATAAATGAATTCAGTAAAGTAACAGGATATAAAATAAATATCTAGAAATCAGTTGCATTTTTATATACCAATAATGAACTATCGGAAAGGCAAAAAACAAAGAACTCCAATTCCATTCACAATTGCTTCAAAAGAATAAAATATCTAGGAATAAATTTAAGGATGTAAAAGGCCTGTACTCCAAAGAATTATAAGATATAAAGAAATTGAAGAAGATACAAATAATGAAGCATAAACTGTTCATGGATATAATGAATTAACACAAAATGTCCATATTACCCAAAGCAATCTATAGATTCAATGTAATTCCTATTGAGAAACCAATGGTATATTTCATAGAACTAGAACAAATATTCCAAAAATTTTTATGGAACCACAAAAGACCCTGAATAGTACATCAATCTTGAGAAAAAACATAGTTGGGGGAATCATGCTACCTGATACCAAACTATACAAGACCATAATAATCAAAACAGCATGGTACTGGCATAAAAACAGACATACAGATCAATGGAATAGAATGGAGAGTCCAGAAATAAACCCATGCCTTTATAATTAATATTTGACAAAGAGGCAAAAACATACAGTGCATTAAAGACAGTCTATTCAACAGATGGTGTTGGAAAAATTGGATATACATGCAAAAATGACACTAGATTACCTTTTTACACCCAATAAAAGAATAAATTCAAGATGAATCAAAGGCCAAAACCGGTTTGGCTCAGTGGATAGAGCATCGGTCTGCGGACTGAAAGGTCCCAGGTTCGATTCTGGTCAAGGGCATGTACATTGATTGCAGACACATCCCCAGTAAGGGGTGTGCAGGAGGTAGCTAGTCGATGTTTCTCTCTCATCGATGTTTCTGACTCTCTATCCCTCTTCCTTCCTCTCTGTAAAAAATCAGTTAAAAAAAAAAGATGGATCAAAGACTTGAGTGTTAGACTAGAAAATAAAAACCACAGAGGAAAATATAGACAGTTAAATCTTGGACATTTCTGATAACAATATTTTTCCTAATGTATCTCCTCAGGCAAGGGAAACAAAAGGAAAAAAAAATAAACAAATTGGACTACATCAAAATAAAATGGTTTTGCATAACGAATCTATCAGCAAAATGAAAAGACAGCTCACAGAATGGGAGAACATATTTGCAGATACAGTTGTTAAGGGGTTAATATCCAAAATTTAGAAAAACTTATGAAACTCAACACCAAAAAACCCCAAACAATCCAATTAATAAATGAGCCAACGACCTGAAAGACACTTCTCCAAAGAGGACATACCAATGGCCAGTAGACATATATATTTAAAGATGCTAAGAATCACTAATCATCAGAGAAATGCAAATTAAAACCACATGACTTATCATCTCACACCTATCAGAATGCCTCTTATCAATAAATCAACAAAACAACAAGTGTTGGCGAGGATGTGCAGAAAAAGGAACCCTAGTACACTGCTGGTGGGAATGCAGATTGAAGTCACTGTGGAAAACAGTATGGAGTTACCTCAAAAACTTAAAAATGGAACTGCCCTATGACCCAGCAATTCCACTTCTTGGAATTTATTCAAAAAAACCTAAAACATTAATTTGAAAGAATATGTACCCCTTTATGTTCATTACAGCATTATTAACAATAGCCAAGATTTGGAAGCAGCCCAAGTGTCCATCGATAGATGAGTGAATAGAACAGCCATAGTATATTTACAGATGTAATACTCCACTAGAAAAAAAAAAAATAAAATTAAGAATAGAGTTGCCATATGACCCAGCAATCCCTCTCCTGGTTATCTACCTGAATAACTCAAAAACATGTATTTGCAAAGATATATGCACCCCTCTGAACATTGCAGCACTATTCACAGTGGCCAAGACTGACCCTTCCCAAGTGCTGGCTGGCTTGTTCGGAGGTTGTCTCCCTTCTGGTCAACCTGAGCATCTCTTTGAAGGAGCTGGACCCACTCTTGTGCACACATGGTGTCTTTTGTGTGGATTAATGCCCCTTACGTCGATGAGAAGATGCTGTGCTCAGGTATGACTGATGAAATATGGAATAAACTTGGCTGGGGAAAACCAGATTTTTGTCACTTGCAAATGCACGGTTCGGGATGGTTTGGAAAGAGAATGAATTTTGCAGGGACACAGTAGAAAGAGTACAAAACTCTTCCTTGCCACCAGGAGAGCTTTATTCCCCTGTCAATCCATCTTTCTGTTTACACGTCCGTCTGTGTATCCCCACCTGAGGCATTGAATTGAGGTTTTTAAATCGTTACTGAAACCTAAGTGCTTCAAGGCTTTGTAGTGGTTGTGGAGAGGACTGGCTGACCCCCAGACTCCTTAGGTTTAAGAGAAGGTGGAGATTGTGATTTTACTCCTGAATACAGAGCTTTATCCTTTCCTTCACTGGATACACCGTGGCAATGCTTCCAGCTCCCTCTCCTCCTCACGCGCCCTCCCCATTCCCACCCAACGGAGGAGCCCTGGCCCCTAAATGGGTACTTCGCATGCCCGTCAGGCTGTCCCAAGTGACCAATTCCTATGGTAACTGCTCTCAGGGACCGTGGAGTTGTGATTCATTCAGACGCACGAATTAGTCTCTGCAGTGCAATAGACTCAGGTGTTGATTGATTCTGATACAATATTAGTTTGATACGGAAAAGTAGCACAAATGGCACCAAGGGTTCTCTTATGTCTCTATTCAAGTTCTTGCTGGCTTGATTATGGATACTTGAAAATCCACTGTAATATTTGCTACTTGTAGGTGAGTCTGACTCTCCCTCCCCACAAAATAAAAAATGCTTTTTTAGGCTATTTTTTTTGCCAGTTATTTTTCTAGGTGAGGTTTGAATTATTTCTTTAAGTTTCCATCAAGATTGTGAAGTGATTTATTTTAATCTATATATTAATGTGAGAAGGCTCTTATAGTACTAATTTTTTATATGAAAAATAGAGTCTCCATTTAGTCAGCATGTCTAAAGTTATTGTAGCTTCCACAAATTTTGTTAAAGTTTTTTTTCCTACCAATTCTTTTACATTAGTTGTTGTGAAAAAGATTTTCTCTCATTATACTTTCTAACCATGATTGTATATTATTTCTAAATATATATAACTACTTGTCCAGTGTCTAGTCACTTTACCATGTAGTTATTAACAATTTTTCAGTCTCATGTATTTTCTGGGTATATAATCACATATCATACAAGTAATAACAGTATTTCCTTCCTTCCAATAGTGGTGCAGGTCTATGTTAGTAATGGAGAGAGCTGGGTTAAATGTATGCTCTGACTCGTTCTCTCAGTCAAATATTATGACATTTTCTTAGGCTTCAGCTTGTTTATCTGTAAAATAGAAATGATAGTACCTGTTTCATGGAGTTGTCAGAGTCAAAGAAAAAGGTTTTTGAGTCTCTATGTAATAAACTCCTTATTACTTATTGTACTGGTCTGAACTCCCAGGACACAGCTGCTTCATAGAGTGTGCTTTGTG